TATTATTATTATTATTATTTGGAGAGGTTTTTTGCTATAGGGCATGTGCGCTCACCAGAAAGACAGAGACAGAAAGACAAATCACCCCCTGGGGGGATGGTCACGCCACAATCCCTTCTCCTCCATTCTCCTCTTGGGATCTTGGGCACGCACGCACACACGCCCGGCATGAGTTTAAGCCACTGGGTCTGAGACTCCAACGGCAGTCGACTCCATGGGAGTCCAGCGACATAGCCATCACGCCAACTGCTGGTCCCAAGAACATTTTACAACGTGAGGGAAAAAGGAACTATATAAATAACAAACATATTTGCTTATATATGCAAGTACACACTCATATAAAGTGATGGCTAAAAGGGAAATAACGGTGATGTGAGAACTAGAGGAAACTTATACTAAAGGTAGACTGTACTGGGGTAAAGGAAATTTAAACGTATTTGTAAGATTTCGGAAAAGAGGCAACAGAAGAGGAGCTGTGAACATAAACGGGGGCGGGGGAGTGATGGAGGAAGTGTCCCAAGGAGTTGAGAAAGCACAGGAATGGGCGGGGCGGAAAGGAGGTGGGCACCTCCACCACTGAGAAAAGCAGGCGGGGAGGAGGGAAGGATGGGCAAGGCGGGGCTGTGGGCTCTGTAGGGGTTCCGGAGGGAGAGAGAAATCAAGTGGTCAGTGCCTGTGTTTTCTGTGAGCCAGGAGATGGAGTCACCTGCTGAAAGGGGGCCTCTGCTGTCACCCCGGAGCTCAGAACACCAGGGAAGGTGCTGGGAGAGTGACCACACAAGGGTGGGCAGAAGGCTGGCCGCCAGTGTTGAGCGCCCACCCGAGACAGGACCCCCTTGGCTAAACTGGCACCATGGACTGGGCTCATGGCCTCGGTGACTGAACAGCAGCCCATGGGCCGCTCCAGCTGCCCAGACAGTTTTATCTGCTTGTTTTGGGTGTCCACTCATTTTGGGTTTTTTTTTTTTTTTTTTTTTTTGAGTCTGCTTAGGGTTTGTTGGCCTGTTTAATTGTGGTAAAATTGGTGTATTAGTTAACCAGACCTGTCAACAAAACACCACAGACTGGGAGGTTTATGCAACAGGCATTTATTCCCTCACGGTTCCGGAGGCTGGGAGTCTGAGCGCCAGGTGGACAGGGTTTGGGTGACTTCTGACTGCTCCCTTTGAAGACACAAGCTTTTCTCTGGGTGTGCATGCCTCTGGTATTTCTGTCCAAATTTCCTCTTCTTATAAAGATGCTAGTGATTTGGATAAGGGCCCATCCTAATAATCTCATTTGTACTTAATCACCTCTTTTATTTATTTTTTTAAAGAATTATTTATTGGGGAACCACCAGTTAGCATAATGGCTATGCCACTGGACTCCCACATAGTTGACTGCGGTTCGTGTCCCGGACCTGGTGACTTAAAACTCATGCCGGGTACGTGTGCGTGTGTGCCCAAGATCCCGAGAGGAGAATGGAGGAGAAGGGATTGCGGTGTGGCCATCCCCCCTGGGGGGTGATTTCTTGCTTTCTCTCTCTATGTCTCTCTCTGTCTGGTGAGCGCACGCGCCCTATAGTGAAAACCTCTCA